AGTTCCCGGGGCTGAGAAAGGTTGACGGTTTACCGCCGGTTTCCAGTTGATAAGGACGAATTGAGGTCGTTTTTTTTTTTTTTTTTTTTTTTTTGAGAGATTTGACAATTCGTGTTGACACCCAGTTTTTCCCCCCCCGCGCCAGTGAAGTTCTCAGGTCCGTTGAGCTCCTTGCACGGATGGTGCTTTCAATGCGGACAGAGAGCTCACTGAGATACCAGCTTGTGAACTTGAGGAAACAATCTGTTGAAGTTCGAACGGGAAATCAGTTACATAAATATTCTGAGCAGCATGAGGTTTGGTGATTTCCAAGCCAACGAGACATACTCTTATCCAGTTACAGAGAAAGTTCGTTGCACGCAGATCACCGAATGTCTGAGAATTCGAGCTCGGTCTCTGAAAGTGAATCGATGGAACTATTGCAGCTGCAATCCTGAGACTTTTACTAGCAATCGCAGAGGGATGCGATTTCAACAAAACGATTTCATATTAAATTTAGATGGTTGAATCTTTGAGAATTTCCCAAAACCGCATATACGAATTGTTTACGCTTCGCGAGTCCCCACCAGCCCATCCAAAAGCAGCCGCTCGAAAACGGTGCGCTGACCGAAGGGTGTTTCTTTTCCTTCTCCCTTGCTTTTTGTTACCTAACAGCGTTTGCTGATAGGTTTCTAGTAGGGTCAAAAGAGAGCATCATGACTCCTCAGGGGGGTCTGGGCGGGTGCCGGGGAGGAGAACCGGGAACAGAACCGGGAACAGAGCCGGGCTCGCTTTTCGCCAAGACTCACACACTTCGTGCTCTTCGACCTCCCAGAACTCCATTCCCGGGCCACATTCTGGATGCCCGGAGCCAACTGTAGGCCACTTCGTGCTCTTCGACTTCCCAGAACCCCATTCCCGGGCCACATTTTGGATACCCGGAGCCAACTGTAGGCCACTTCGTGCTCTTGGACTTCCCAGAACACCATTCCTGGGCCACATTTTGAATGCCCGGAGCCAACTGTAAGCCACTTCGTGCTCTTCCATTTCCCAGAACTCCACTCCCGGGCCACTGTTGCTGCTGCTAGTGTAGCTATTGCTATTGCAACTACTGGCAGTGCCACTGCGACTGCCGCTGATGTTGCCACTGCGACTGCCACTGCGAATCCGAATGCCAGGCTGAGGCTGAGGCAGGCTGAGGCTGAGGCCGAGGCCGACGGCAGACTGAGGCTGAAGCTGAAGCAGGCTGAGGCAGAGGCAGGCTGATGCTGAGGCAGGCTGAGGCTGAGGCTGAGGCTGATGCAGGCTGAGGCTGAGGCAGGCTGAGCTGAGGCCGAGGCTGAGGCTGAGGCTGAGGCTGAGGCTGAGGCTGAGGCAGGCTGAGGCTGAGGCTGAGGCTGAGGCTGAGGCTGAGGCTGATGCAGGCTGAGGCTGAGGCAGGCTGAGGCTGAGGAAGGCAGAGGCTGAGGCTGAAGCAGGCTGAGGCTGAGGCTGAGGCAGGCTGAGGCTGAGGCTGAGGCAGGCTGATGCTGAGGCAGGCTGAGGCTGAGGCTGAGGCTGATGCAGGCTGAGGCTGAGGCAGGCTGAGGCTGAGGCCGAGGCTGAAGGCACTGAGGCTGAGGCTGAAGCAGGCTGAGAGGCTGAGGCTGAGAGGCTTGAGGCTGAGGCTGAGGCAGGCTGAGGCTGAGGGCTGAGGCTGAGGCTGAGGCAGGCTGAGGCTGAGGCAGGCTGAGGCTGAGGCTGAGGCAGGCTGAGGCTGAGGCTGTGACTGCGACTGCCGTTGCCACTGCGACTGTCATCGCGAATGCGACTACGACTGCGAGAACAGCAGAATTCTACAACTGGGTTCCCATCCGAATCTTAAGGGGAATGCTTCCAGATATGCTCCTACACATCGCTGTTAGGTTGCTTTGCCGGGATATTTTTTTTTGATTCCATCCACCTCTCCCTCTCCTCGTCCTCGTTGCTCCTTCTCTTCGTCCTCCTCCTCCTCCTGGTGTTTCCGTGCGATCTTGGAGCTCTCTTGGGATCTCAGGGATTTGTGGCCCCTGGGCTCTCTCGGGGCTCTTTGTGGGAGTTTGGGGGGTCTCTTGGGGCCATCTTGGAGGCCATCGGGCAAAGAAGGAGAGATTATTTATTGGTGTGCCCCCGTCGGGGCCCGAAATATCGCTTCTCGGAGCCCTCTGGGGCCGCTCTTGGGCGCATCTTGGGCGCTCTTGGGGCCGTCTTGGGGCCCTCCTGGGCCGTCTTGGAGCCGTATTGGGGGCCTCTTGGGCCGTCTTGGGGCGGTCTTGCGGGCCTCTTGGGCTGTCTTGGAGCGTCGGGGAGCCGAAAGGGCGGGAACGCTAAAATGGTTGAAATATTCAAGGAAAACATATGATTTTGGCTTCGTTGGGGCCCTCTTAGGGCGCTTCTCGGGGCTCTCTTGGAGAGTTTTTTGGGTGCCTCTTGGGGTGTCTTGGCCTTTCGGGGGCGTCCTTGGAAGGTTCCGCGGCCACCTGGGGCCGTCTTGGGGCGGTCTTGGAGCCTCTTGGGGCTCCCGTGGGCCGCTCTTGGGCACCGCTTGGGCGCTCTTGGGCCCTCTGGGGCCGTGCTGGCCGCCGCTTGGGCCGTCTTGGGGCCCTCTTGGGCCGTCTTGGAGCCGTCTTGGGAGCCGACCGGGCCGTCTTGGGGCGGTCTTGCATGGCTCTTGGGCTGTCTTGGAGCGTCGGGAAGCCGAAAGGGCGGGAACATTCAAATGTTATAAACGCCCACGGAAAATCAATGGTTTTGGCTTCTTGGGGCCCTCTTAGGGCGCCTCTCGGGGCTCTCTAGGAGCGTCTTGGGGGCATCTTGGGCCGTCTTAGCTTCTCGGGGGCGTCCTCGGAAGGCTCCGCGGCCACTTGGAGCCGTGTTGTGGCGGTCTTGGGGCCGCTTGGGGCTCTCTTGGGCCGCTCTTGGGCACCGCTTGGGTGGGCCGTCTTGGGGCCCTCTTGGGCCGTCTTGGAGCCGTCTTGGGATCGCTCTTGGGGGCCTCGGGGGCGCTCTTGGGGCAATCTTGGAGGATCGGTTAAAGAAGACGAAAGCATTTATTTGCCCCCTCCCCCCTCCCCCCCCTGGGGCCACGATCCTCGTGAGGGGTGTCAAAAAATGAGCATCCCAGGGACCGACAAAGGACGCCCCGGCGACCCGCGGCCCCCCTCTCGAGGCCCAGGGGGAGGGGGTAGGGGGAGGGGTGAAGACCCCCTCCCCGCCCGCAAGCCGTGTCGCTCACTCCAACCCGCCCTCCCAACACATAGTGGCACCCGAGTCTGGCCCGAGCCTCAGCATATGCAGCAGTCGTCTTTGGATGGGCAGCTACTGGGGGCCAATTCGCCGCCGCCGCCGCCTCCGCCGCCGCCGCCGCCGCCGCCGCCGCCGCCGTTGCCCGCCGCCGCCGTTGCCCGCCGCCGCGCCGCCGCCGCCGCCGCCGCCTGCCGCCGCCGCCGCCGCCGCCGCCGCCGCCGCCGCCGCCGCAGCCGCCGCAGCCGCCGCCGCCGCCGCCGCCGCCGCCAAGTGTACTCTGTATAGTATTCGACAGGGATGCTGGGGGGGGGCCGCATCGGGCTGGCTGCGCATATTCAGAATTTGGAGGCAGAGTGTGTTTTGTATGGTTTTGTTACAAGGGATGGTGGTGGTGGGGTCGTCATGGTCCCTGGTTGGCCCCCAGTCGCTTGGGGGAGGGGGTGTTTAATAATAGGGAACAGTGATAAGCCCCTCCCGAAGGGGAAGAAGGAGGTTGAGAACAGAGAGGACTATCTAAACCACTCACGCCCTAAAAGGGCTGTTGGGAGCTTCATGCTGACTTCAAGACGGTTCTTCCACGTCTTTTGATGATGACACTCCAGAGGCCCCCCGCGGTAGCTTGGTTGGCGGTTTACCGCCGGCGCCCAGCGCGCAAAAAGTGGTCGAGCTCACTGGCTGCGAGAATGTCCTCACCTTCATGGCCCGCGCCTCCGAGGTGGCGCGGCGAGCTTGCCAGGCGCGCGCGCGAAGGTGGCCGCGCGAAGGAGCTGAAGTTCAACCTTGTGGCTGCGATGGTTGCCGAGAAGGAGTCAGTGGTGACTCGACGTGCGAGGCGACGTTTGTAGAGCGGGCCGCCTGTGAGGGCAAGGGGGTCGTCGACCTGGGTTGCGCAGGCGCCGCGGGGGGCGAGCGTGCGCTTGACATCGTTGCCAGGGGGAACATTGAGAAGTAGGGGGGCGCGGCTCCAGGAGGTGAGCCTCGACCACCGCCCGGTGTACAGCTTGGGCGGCGAGAAGGAGCGCGCCTACGGCCGGGTGGAGTTCGGGATCGCGGGCGCGGGCGTGCAGGGAGATATCGCCGTCGACGGCCCGAGTCTCGTGTCCAAGAAGGGGGCAGTCGTGGATGGCGGCATCGGTGTCGCATAATTCGTGAAGTTGGCTCCAGACGCTCCACTGCAGCTCGAGGGATCGCCAGATGTTGGCCACTACTACATGAGCCTAGTGGATGACCCCCTCGAGCAAAAGGCCGGGACAAGCTGCAAAACTTCGTCGAGATCAGCCGCCGCATCTCTGAGTGGGGCCGGCAAAACGCGCGAGCCGGGACTCGGAGCAGGGTCAGGGTCGGCGCACAGTGCGAGACGAGGAATACTCGAGTCTCCTTTCTTTCCCCTCTCTCGCAGTACAAGGCGCCAGCCAACGTTCGGTCGAGCCAGAATCGAGAGAGCAGGCCGAGTGGTCACCAGGTCCTGGCGGGGGTCGCGGGCGCGTCCATCGCCGTTGCGGCCGAGCCCGGCGCGATCTCCAGCAGGTGGATTGAGCGAGTCAGCGGGGGAACCGGCACCGCCAGACCTTCCTCCATATCATCCTTATCCCCGGGCGCGCGGCGCCGCCGGTCGATGGCGGAGAGATGCTCTGCAGCGGCTTCCTCCGAGGGGCTATCCAGCTCGCCTGTGTCGGGACCGCGCGCCAGTGTTACGCGGGTTTGGGCCATGCCAACGTCGCGCGGTAGGTGATCGAGGAGCTTGGCCCCCCCTTCAGGCCCGCCCGGAGCTCGGTCGAGCTGACGCAGATCATCAAGGAGAACCTGTTCCCGCGGAACGAGACGGAGGCACAGACAGCCGCGAAGGGCACCAGCTCTTTGAAGAAGGCCGAGCTGATCGAGAGGGCGACGGAGGTCGGGGCCCACGTCGCGCCGAACATGACGAGTGCCGCGCTCAAGTTAGCCATGCGCAAGGCCGTTCTCCAGCAGGCCACGCCGGGGCCGACCGACGCAGTTGGGCTCGGGAAGCACGGCGCCATGACCTACCAGCAGGTCCTGATCCAGCACGAGTTGGCCAAGCAGGAGGCGCTTTCCGAGAGCAGCTGGGAGCTCGTCTTATTTGTCTCATGCCTCAACGAGACGGGAGTCGTCCAACTGCAGAAGCAGATGGCCAGGGACAACGTGTATGTCCCGGTCGAGCCGACCAGGGCTCGAGGGGGCGCGAGGTCATCTGGCCGAAGGACAGTCGGCGTTCTGATGGAGGACGAGCTCGCGGAGGGGGAGAAGCAGGCCGCGGACCTGGAGGAGAAGCAGGCCAACCGCCGCGTCCAGGAGGATGCTATCAGCGCTGGGCCAGCTCAACTAGAGGCTGCAGAGGCCCAAGGAGCAGCCGAGAGCACGCAGCACGTCCGACGGGAGCTTCATTCCAGTGGGTGGGTTTCAATCCGAATGGTCTGGGCGGGGTCTGAACCGCGCGAAGGAGCTGGGCCCGCGGAAGCAGCGCTGGCTCGCGAGGTGCATCAAGGAGACCAACCACTCCGAGGACCTCGAGGCGATGCTCGCGCATGGAGGGGTCAAGCTAATGGAGGTGGCCTTCAGTCCAGTCTCCGTTTCGAGCGCGAAGATGGCGGCGAGGATGGCCACTGAGTGTCCAGGAGGTCATCGGCATGGCGAGCTCACAGGAGGTGGACTCACAGCATCCACGAGCTACTACACAGACGAGTTTGCGGAGAGGGCGGTGCGAGCCATGATTGAGGTAAGTGCGCTCGATTACCACGAGTTCATGAGGAACCTGGCCGGCACCAGGGCGTCGGAGGAGCAGGCCCTGATCGCAGGCAAAAGAGAAGGACTCCATGGGCGCGGTCCAGAGCTCCAAGGATAACCTGCAGATCATGCGATGGCTCACCTCTGTGCATAGAGGATCGGGCCGCAGTTCGAAGGCCTCCATGCGTTGCCTGTGCTGAGGCGAACCACCACCGGCCGACGCATGCGCCAGTCAGCCTCGAACTCATCCCGCAAAGTGGAAGCGCGTCCAGGCCGACCAGTTCGAGTGGGAGCACCATCAGAATGATATCAAGTCCAAGTTCTCACTGATCATCGACGAGAACTGCAAGGTGAGGGTCAGCAAGCTGCTGTACCACATGGCGGGCGAGGACCGACAGAGGAATCCAGTGTGGGCCGACCTGAAGAGCTTTTACGAGGAGCTGTGGTTGCCATACTTCGGGAAGCCTCAGAGGGTCAAGGTGGACCCTAAGGGCTCGTGGAGGTCAAAGCAGGCTGCAGACTACTTCGACTCTGGCTCCGTCGTGTACGAGACGATCCCAGGGCAGGCCCACTGGCACATCTCCCTCGTGGAGGAGGCTATCCAGGCCACGAAGGGAACGATGGGCAGGCCCGTGGCGGAGAGCCCGGAGATGACTACCGAGGAGGCCCTGGCCCGAGCTACTGCAGCGGGAAACTCGAGAGGACGTTCGAGGCCACGCCCCGCTCCAGCCTGCGTTGGCACGGGCGCCAGACCTCAACGGCCACTTCTTTGAGAGTAACTTTGGCGAGTCCCCTACATCGAGGCCCAGCGGGTTGACAAGGAGTGCGGCGAACTACATGAAGATGTGCGCCACAGAGAAGGAGTACCTGGGGCAGGTCCACCTACGACGGATCAGCCGGGCGGAGAACGCGAAGCACCAGGCGCTGGAGGCCGTGGCCCCTGCCATGTGGGTGCGCTACTTCCGTGAGGAGAAGGGCGCGTCCAAGGGCCAGTTCAGGGGCCTCGCGCGGGTGCTCGCTGCGGAGACCAGTCGCCCGGTGGACGGTGACCTCGGAGAGGCCAGGCCTTGCATCCAGGAGGGGCTGGGCGAGGTGGGCCCGTGCCATATCCAAGGGGCGTCGGCGCGTGAGATCGCTTGCGCGGGGCTCGTGGGCGGCAAGGGCACCCCGCAGGTGCGCGCCTTCATGGTCCAGGCGATGAAGCAGGAGTACCTGGACTTCTCAGGCCACGACCCCGCCGACCAGGGCGATGAGGTGGCCTCCTGAGAAGGGTGCCTGAGCCAGCGCCACCCCTGAAGAGGGCATGTCATGGGGGGCCGCCAAGTGAGGCTCCGAGGAGCTCCCCTCCCCAGCCAGTGCGGAAGTCGATCCCGAAGAGGGGGGGGCATCCAGGCGGCGCCTCAGACGGGGTGAAGGCAGCGAGAGCTGCAGCAGCCGAGGAGATCATGCAGGAGGGAGCTGCCCTTATGGCCGAGGCCTCACCAGACGCCCGGGCTTTCTGGGCAAGGCAGGGCGCGTCGCTGGAGGTGTCGGTGGAGAGGCCTCTCGCAGGGAAGGCCCTGAAACAAGCCGCGATACTCATGAGCACCTACGTGGCGAGCCAGCTGCGCAAGGGCAAGCGAGAGATCTCAGAAGGGGGCCCTCGCGCCCGTCGAGATGATGAGGCTCGGCGGTGGCGAAGGACACCGAGGTGAACAACGACGTCATCTTCTCGGTAATGGAATCCCCGCTCCCGGGAATCACCCCTTCCACCGGAAGACGTTATGCGCGTGCGATGGGCCCTGGAATGGAAGGTGGGCGAGACCGCAGGCGAGAAGAAGCAGGAGGCCAGGATCGTGGTTCTAAGCTGCGTGGATCCAGAGTACGAGCGCCGCCCGACGACAGCGCCCACCATGACGCGTGCGTGTCGGCATATGGTGCTGCAGGTAATGTCATGGCTTGGCTTCAATAGCTTCACTGAGAAGGCGCTGCGGGACTTCGTGGATCCCGAGAAGCTGGACGTGCTGATCGCGGCGAAGGGCGACCTCGACATCATAGTCGATGCTGGCTCGCGCGTGGATGACTTCCTGATTGGGGGAAAAGAGTTTGACCCATGGTGGATAGAAGCAGGGAAGAAGATCGAGGAGCGCTTCAAGTGGAAGACCTGGGAGACAGCGGAGTTCATGCACACTGGCGTCCGGATCATGCAGCAGGCCGACAAGAGCTTCCGCATGGACCAGAGCGAGTGCATCAAGACCGGCGAGAAGCCTGTTCTGCCCCCCCGAGCGCAAGAAGAACAAGGACGCGCCAACCACCGACAAGTCTTTTAACGGCCTGGTCTTTGGGATGGCCCCACTGAAGATTCTCCAGGGCGACGAGACGGACGTGAGCATGATATCCTGGAAGTCAGGCAAGATCGGCCGTGGATGCCAGAGCTCAGTCGCATGTGAAACGAGGTCAGCAGTGGTCGGAGAATATGAGCTGTTCGGAGTCAGACTGCAGTGGCCAGAGATCCTGGGCAACAACATCGACCGGCGGATCCCGGAGGAGGCCCTGTGCAGTCTGCCATCTGCCGGGCTGGCGAGTGGTCATGGTTTCGGAGTTTTGGGGCGTTTTGGTGTCATCGAAGGGCTCCTCTGGGTTCCGTGGCCTCAGACTCCCCGAGGGGCCGAATATGAATTGTGTGCCAACGCCTCTGTCGGGTGTGGTTCAGACTGTGCCAGTGTAGTGCTGCTCCAGAATGCAGGCGCCGCGGAAGCGCTTGGAGCGAAGAGGCAGTGCGCTGGCTTGGTTGTGCAAGCCCGCCACCGCTTCTGCCGCTTTAACGCGGGCTTCCACAAAGTGAACGCCCATTTTCCGACGGTGGCAAGCTTTCGGAGGTTGGGGGGTTTGTGGGCTGATATTGCGGCGATGGGGTGGGGCTGGCTCCATCTCTGCATGGGTCCCACAATGTCGGAGGTTCTGGGTGGGATGTTGACTAGTGCCCGACACGCGTTGTTGGGCGGAACCCGATTGTCGAGTTTGGAGGTTTGGAGCGCGTCCAGCCGCCACGTCCGCCTAAACCCGACTGCTTGGGGCTAGAGCAGTAATGGGAACAATATGGCTCTGGAGGCGGTGCCGTGTTTGTTTGCGAGGCCCCAAGGCGGTTTCCAAGCCGACAGGGGGACTGTAGTTACTGTTCGGGCCGCAGCAGGCTTGACCAGGGTGTCTTGGAGTGTCTCGGGCATCGTGTGTTAGCGTTCCCATACTCGGATCAGTCTCACCGGTGTTTGTGCATGAATTGCGCGCTATATAGCAGTGATGTAAAGGTTCTTGGGCTATGGCGTACGTGCGCTCCTCCTACGGCGGTTGGCGTTACTACTATGCCTGAGTTTCGTAGAGACCTGTATCCTGATGAGAAAGGTGTGTCCGTCGATATCGGCGACGCCATCCCACTGCTATGCATACATGTTCAGTGCTGCTCCACTTGCGCTTCTGGGCTGGCGTCGCATAGCTGTCACATGGGCCGTACCGTTGCCGCACAAAATGAGGAATAACATGATGATGAGGAGGATGAGGATGAGGAAGTGGAGGGACGCGAGGAATCCATCAAGGACGATGATGCTGATGATGAGGAGGAGGATGGGGATGAAGGTAATTCTGCTGGCGATGATGATGATGTGGAGGAGGAAGGGAGGGAGGAGGAGGATGAGGAACATGATGAGGAACATGAGGAGGAGGACCATGATACTAAACATGAGGGGCAGAAGAGGAGGAAGAGGAGGACCAGGAGGAGGATGATGAAGACTACGACTTAGGATGGTCATCGGGAGTATAACGATGTTGTTGGTGATGCTGAGGATTATGCTAATGATGCTGATGCTGACGATGCTGATGATGCTGGTGATGATGATGCTGATGATGAGGATGTTTTTGGTGTTGGTGATGATGATGATGGTGATGGCGATGCTGATGCTGATCATGATGCTGATGATGATGATGATGATGATGATGATGATGATGATGATGATGATGATGATGATGATGATGATGATAA